AAAAAAAGCTGTTACAGAGTCTGGTGGAGCTGGCCCGTATACTGCAATACCTTTTACCAGATGGTAGGAGGGCAAAGAGGTTGCAGGAGGGGTGGGAGGGATCGTCCACAATACTGGAGGCTTTGTATGTGCAGCGTTTGTGGTATATGTCCTTCAAAGCATGTTTTGAAGGTTGAGGAAAAATAAGTGGGGGTCCTTTGTGGGGAAAAAAAAACTAAGCTGAATGTGTATGAAACAAACTATTGCTTACTGCATGAGATTATTGTAGAGAGAAAATAAAAGTGTGATCCAAAAGTGACCTTTGTGTGACATCTTAAATATAGTCATTTTAATTTAAGTGAAATTTGTGTGCCTTTGCATTGTTAAACCACGTCTTTGCAAAAACCAAATGTCAGCTGACCTGTTTAAAAGCACAATATGATTAACAGTGTTTTGGTTGATCTCGAAAGATACTGTAGGCGCATGCTTTTCGTCAGTGGTGCTTTTGGTCAGTGATGTTTTTTAAAACATTTCATCTTTCCGAAATGTGAAAGTACCCACGACTGAAACCAGATTGAGCGCTAAAATAGTTTCAGTGATGTGAAAAGGAGAATATCTACTTACCAACCTTTCCAAAGATTTAGGGAAGCAAGGCAATGAGGATAGTAGCGTGTCACATCATGTATCTCACACACAATTGCAGGTGCCCCATCTTTAAACATTTTATTTGAAAACAATGGTGGGACGAGTGATCCTGGGAACCAGAGGTTGCCATCCGTTTTATATAAAAAAATCAGTGTTAACACACCCAGATGGATTATTTTTCAATACTTTTAAAAGATCTTCTAACATCCCTGTCTCTGTCACCTCACTCTGAACAAAGCTAGAGCTAAATTAGTCTATCACACCTTTACAAAACAGAATTATGAGAGTAAGTATTTAACATCCCATACCACTATCTAAAGTTATTACATTAAATATATACATTATTTTCTAGAATATCAGAACAAAGGGGTGTGCCCATCTTATCTGTGATGGCTCCTTATTTCTTTGGCTTTTGGCTTGGGTAGTTGTAATAAACTGATCATTTAAAAAATAATCAGACTTGGGTTTCCTTATTAGCTTGGGCAATTCAGAACGTAACAGTAGGCTGTTGCAGTTTTTAACTCTTTGCTTCAGTGATAAATGTTTAAGCAACAGTGAATAATAAAAAATGACGTGTACATGAAACATATGGTTTTCCCCCTAATTTTCATAGATGCCTTGCAACCCGTACACCCATTGTTTTATCAAATAAGCAACGACAGGAATATATTAGGGTCTCACCTTTCCTGTAGTTCTTTTCCAATACTCCCCTGCCAATCTCCATGTTCTTTTAAGATTTTCCAGATCATCAAAACCACAACGTTACAAAGGCTTCGTCTTTCATGAATTTTTTACCCTTACGTGCATGGAAAAAAAGAATTTGCATGAGTGATCGTATTAATGAACAGCAGCTGTACAAAACAGAACATTCTGCCATGTGGAATGCACGTTATATAACGAACGTTTGCTTCCTTTTGAATACATGAGAACATACTGCATACCAGTCATCACTTCAGATAAACTATCTCGAAGAATGTCTGGAGAGACAATGTTTTACAAAACATAGGCACTAAAATGACCGTCGTAACCTGCACATACTTGTATTCCATCTCAGGCGTTTAGTAGTTCAACATTATTTTTTCCACTTATTTGTCATTTTCTCTCAGCTTTTTCTCTCATTTTTGCTGGTGGTGGTCTTATTTTGGTCTCCTGTTGATTTTGTTTTGTTCTATGGCAGTAGTTCTGAACACACTCAACTGAGGTCTTGCAGGATATGTGCTTATCTCTGTGCTGTGTAAACACGGGGGGCATACTTTGATCATCACTAGGAAACAAAATCTCATACCTTCTTTGTACTTGGCATCTGCATTAACGCTAGGAGATACTCAAGTGTTTGGTACAAAACGTGGAAAAAAGTGAGTGTGATGTGCAGCTGTGACAATTCTCTTTGTCCAGGTGAGAAAATGGATGTGATTTGTGCATGTTGACATGCATGTTCTGTAAAATCTTCAGACTTTCTGTTACACCCTGCTGACAGTTCACATTTTAATTCAGCAGCAGAAATACTTGACCTATAGGAGTTTTTGATGTGATCTTTGAGTGTAGGCACTGTGATCCATGATTACACAGCAGGCATCATGAATAATGGGGATATCCAGACCCTTCTTATTCTTGACCTGCAAGTACATCTGAGCTTCACCATACCCTTGACATAATATTCTGTGTGAGTACATGCTAAGACTGTATCGCATTTCTCTGCTGCTTGTCTATTGTTTCTGTGCTCTTTGTGCCATTGGCCTGGCATTGCCAGGTTAAAATTTACAGTCAAATTGATCTGCATTCTTTTTTTCAGCTGTTATTCCTTGAACTTTGAATTAGTGCCTCTGTGCTTCAATATCACAATCCTGTGGTATGGGCTTACTCTCTTTAGAGAAAATCACACGCAGTTGTGCCATCTTAATAATAATAATTCCTTCAACTTCTATAGCGCCAATACACTCCCCATGCACCAGCTATCAGTGCAGAGGAGAACAGAATGATGAAGCCAGATCAGAGATGGGGCTTATTAGGAGGCCATGATTGGTAAAGGCCAATGGGAAATTTGTCAGGACCTCAGTTTTACGTCTCATCCGAAGTGACTGTTCCTGTCGCTATACTGGGACATTAGGACCCACACAGACATCAGGGTGAGATCCCCCTGCTGGCCCCACTGACATCTCATCCAGCAGTAACCTTAGTTTTTTCCAGGAGGTCTCCCATCCAGGTACTGACCAGGCTCACACCTGCTGAGGTTCAGTGGGTTGCCAGTTGTGAGTTGCAGAGTGATATGGCTGCTGGCTAAATCCTGCACAGACCATCACTGCTGTTTTTAACAGAAAAGAACCCCCCCCAAAAAAAGGACACACACAAATAACAAGTAGATCCTACAGTCCTCACTGCAAAGGGCTCAAAGACACCAAACAATACTAAAAAAAAAAAAACAAGGGCCCTACCCTCCCTCAAAAAAACAATCCCCTTAACTAATTCAGAAACACAAAATCTATAATTATCGGGAAAAAATGCAATCATCACTTTTTCCATCTCCCTTCAGACACAGCCATGGACTGCAGCACTAGGAAAAAAAACACCTAGCCATATGAAATAGGTTACCAGCCCTGTCCAACATTTATATCCATGACCTAAAGCATGCTGGGATATTATTTGCTTAATTAATACATAGCACCTCCCCCTTAATGGAAGCAATTGCTTTGAATATGCTTGGAGTCCCTTTATTTACTCCATTTTCATTTCTTTTTGTCCATTACATGTAGATGCCAGTAATTTATGTGGAGAAAAAGTTGTGTTTAGAACATGGGTGAATTGACGACGCTCTCATTTGAAAGAATTTTCCATTTGATTGTCTCTAGACTGTTTGTTTCTGACTGTGGTTGTTGTGAAACAACAGTGCTGAGATTCTCTTAAGGAAGCATTGAGCCAATGGTCAAATATTTTGATTGGTACGAAAACAAATTCCCTTTCTGTATTTTTAGGAAGGCATTACAAGGAACTGGAGGAGTTGAGGCATCAACCGATACCTGACATCATATACTCTTCCTAAAAAAAAAGCTTTCACTGATTATCGAATGCATTGCAAAAGTATTCACCCCTTCCAATGATGAAACAAGATTCATTATCGACTTTATTGTGCTTAAAAGAATTCTGAGTGTCTTTGAATTTGTTTTCCTGATCTGTGCATTTCTATAACTTCATTCTTAAGTTGTTTTGAAAATTCCTTGAAATTCACTCCCTGACTGAGTGTTATTCTGAAATCATGTGAACTACACAGATTGCACATAGATCCATTCAACCAGTTGTATCACTTACCAAAGTAATTTTGTGCACCTTAACTAATTTAGGTTTGCCAAGCGGGTGAATATGTCTGCAATCACATCAAAAGCTGCAAAAAAAACCCTGATATATATGAGGTCTTTCCCATAAAAACACATAAAAGTGTCCCATTAGAGCAACCAAGTATATTTATTAGAATAGTCACTTAAAAAACCATGTATTTTCCATTTATTATTCAGCGCAATTGTGTATCAGTGGAAGGGTGTGCAAAGGACTGTATGTCAATTTGTATAGTTTTACTAGAGGTGTGAAAACTAAAATAAAACAGATTATTTTGGTGTGAACAATAATAATAATAATCCAAATTCAAAACTTGAATTGAGTAAAGTTTTTTTAAACAACAAAAATGTTTTGCTATTTCTAATAAATATTATACTAACACAGTATTGTAATAATAAACATTAATGCAAAAACATTATAACCTAAGAAATTAAGTCAGTTTTCTACTTTATTTCTATTTTTTATTAATCTGTTTTTTCCTTTAATTGTTTGCCACTCTAACGACAAAATATGAAGATTAAATTCCTCGACCAAAACACTTTGAGACCATAAAACTATTTAAAACGTAGTGATTGTTTCCTTTGAAACCATTGTTTTAAAACATAGTATTATGTAATTTATTCACTCAAATAAAATAAAACCACTCAAATGTAATACATTTTGAATGGAGTTTGTTGTATATTAGGGAGATAGTTGTTCATTCTTAAAACCTAAAACGTCCTTGAAAAAATGTGGTGTGGAACAATTTGGAAACAAGCTTTATAGCTTATAAATATTTTATATATACTGCATATATAACATTATTTTTGCTTAAAAACACCTCAGGCCATGCCTGGCCTTTGCAACAAACCACTTAAGGAATACCTCAACATGTGAAAAAAGATTTTGTTGTCAGACAAAATTTTACTGTTTTTTTTTTATCTAAAGTGCTATGTCTGGCACAAACCCAGTTTGGGGTTTGTCTTTAAAGCAGTATCAGTCCTGAGTGATAATGGTTTATACTGTATGGCATCTGTGTTTAAAATACGTATCTGTCCGCCTGGTCTTAGTTTCTACACCGGACCAGCTGTTGTGCAAGGCCGCATCCCCTTGGACACGGACAGCGTGGTTCTCGTCCTGAATGGGAGAGAGGACCCGAAGATCGCCTACGCCACCCAGTGGCTGCAGTACGTACAGGCGCTGGTGCAGACGCACGAAGTGAATCACGTGGGAGTGATGCTGCTGGGGAGCGAGAAGTGCAGTAACGAGTGGATCCGTCCCCACCTCCGACGACACGGGGGGGTTGTGGACCTGCTGTTCCTGGTGTACGACAGCCCCTGGGTGAATGAGGAAGATGTGTATCAGTGGCCTCTGGGTGTAGCAACGTAAGCACTTACTGGTCATTTTTTTCTTTCGGTTTCAAACTTAGTCTATTTTAATATATAAATTGCAATCAGATGAATTTGATAGTTACTTAAGTTATTATATTGGAATATTATAAGAGTATATATAATAATGCATTATATTGTAAAAATATATTATTATTTATT